GTAAAATCCTCTTCCAGCTCTGTGGCTTCTGCGAGGCCATCCCAGATGTTCACTTTCAGCTGGGATGAGGACTTGCGCCTTCTCCTGGGATGTGGGGCCACTGGTTCTAGGGTCTCCTTTAAGGTCCCCTCTACAGTGGGGCGCAGAGCAGGATGGGATGTCTGGGGAGGTGGGGCGGGAGAGAGGCCTGGGTGTGTTTCTCATCCAGATGTGGGGCTGGGGCTGGGGCTGGGACAAGATTTGAGTCCAAGGCTGGGGCCGGGTCACGTGCTGGGGCCAGGGCTGGGCCTGGGGAGGCTGCGAAGGCGCTTCAGCCCCAGTTTGCAGCGGAAAAGCCTCAGGGACTTCACCGAACGAGACGAAGCCATGCGGGATCGGGGAGCTGCTGAGGACCGGGCAGCTGCTCTGGTGTGTCACTCGCGTTCCAGAAGAAGTGTGGGGTTGCGGTGTCCGGCTCCCAGCCCGCTGACTTACATATCCCCAGAGAACCCGGGGCCAGTCTGGGCTCGTGTGTTGCAGAAACGACCCCTCCTTTTCCTCCTCCTTCCACAGCTTCAGTTCTGCTCTCCTGGGGAGGAGCATCTCCAGGAGCATCTGGACATCGGGGTTGATGAAAGTGGGGTCACCACCCTTGATCTGTCTGTGCACAGGGTCTCCCCAGAGCAAAGCCTCTGGTGGACGGTGGAGAAGAGGCTCTCGCTGGGGCGTGCTGTGGCGCGAGGTGGGGAATAACAGGGCCTGGGCCGCCGCCCCCCACCGGGACAGGAACCAGATGATGCCTTCAAGGCCTGAGGTGGTCGAGAAGGGAGGCCCCAGACATGAGTTACCTGGAGGTGAGCAGTACCGCACAGTGCCCAGGGGACTGTCTTCAAGTCAGACTGGTCTCCGAGCGCTTCTGCTGACAGGGTGAAGCCCGGAGGTGGACGGTGCTGGGCGAGGGGAGCCCATGGGGATGAGGCGGTGGCACGAGCATCTTCCACACGCTCCCCACTCAGGCAGGTGCTGCCTTGCACCCCTGCCCCGGCGCTTCTGGACATGAGAGCTGATGAAAGCGCCCCTGGTCAGGGAGCTTCCCCAGGCGGCTGTGGGAGACAGGAGGCACGAGCTGCAGCACGGCTGGGTGGGGCCAGGGTGGCAGGCAGGGCGCACCGCCCCTCCACTGTCCCCATGCTGACTCCACAGAGCTCTGCCCCTCCCAGGCCCCAGGGCTCCAGTCACATCCCTTTTCCCCTTCCCTCATCTCCCCCTCCCAGGTCAGCCCTAGGCCTGGGGTCCCGTCCCGGGCCCTGGTAGGAAGGGGGACAGGGAGACAAGGGGAGAGGCCCTCACCTGTGCACAAGTGGAGTCAGGTCCATAGACACCTCCAGTTCCCTCGGGCCATCTCTACGAGCTGGAAATCAGGATCCGGATTAGGACGGAGGGGAGGGGCCTGGGTATCTTGCAGGAGGCTGACTGTCCCCCTAGGACAGACCGTCGGGGGTTGGCCCTGCAGCCCACGCATCAGTGTCCAGGCCATGAGAACCTGGCAGTGACAGAAAAAAGCGCAGCAGGCAGCGCTTTATCGTGTTCTCAGTGCTCCATATCCATCCCCCAGGATCCTCACACGCCCCCTGCGGGGGACAAGACCAGGGTCACCTCCAAGATGAACCAGCCTTAGGCAGGCCGAGCCGCTGTCCACAGTTGGGCCTGGAGGCCCCACCTGCATGCACACCCAGCTGCTGATGGCTCACCCCCACCTCCCCGCTGTGGGCAGCAGCCATTCCGGGCCCACCTGGCTTCACGCCTGGCACAGGATCTGAGAAGAATCCCGGGTCCCATTTCCTTCCCAGGAGCCCCCTCAGCCCTCTGCAGCTGACTTCCTGGTAGACTCGTCCCTCAGGATCGGCGAGGCTAAGTCCCCCCGGGGACTCCGGGCCAGAGCCTTACCTTTCAGACCGCAGCTCTTCTTCCCGCTCCGGGGCCTCCCCGTCATCGCCGCCACACGCTGAGGGACAAGAAACAGGGGGCTGGGACCGGCCCTACCCGCCTCCCCCCAGAGGAGCTGCAGACATTCAGTGTCTGTGGAGGACGTGACCTTCTGCACCTACCTGAGGGACCTCTGTCTGCTTTTCTCTCCTTCCACTCATTTTTAAGGTGCATAAAAGCATCTTTTGTCATCCTTCTTTGAAACATGCACGGAGGGATTTTCCATGTGAGATCCACCATGGGTGTCTTTTGTCACCATTCCTCTGCTGGAGAAACTCACTGACTCAGGCCTATGGATCCTGCTGTCAGGCAGGGTCCTCCTTCCCGAGGAGGCCAGAGGCCACTGCGGTGTCTGATGGGAGGCTCTGGGGGGCTCAGCACAGCCCTCAGGTCACCTGACACAGTGAAAGCCAGGCTGAGGCGCCAGCCACGGGAAGGGGACTGATGCCTGATGCATGGAGCCCGGGGACTTCCTCCCACAGAGACCTCAGCTCTGTCATCACCTCGTCCCGGCCCCTGAGTGCTGGCGTTTGATTGGCCCTGATGCCGCCTGCACACCTGCACATGGGGTCTGAGAGCTTGGGATAGAAACCCACACCACTGTCACTTCCCTGCCCCACCTGGGCCTGGCAGGATAAGGACATGTCCCATCTCAGGGGTCTCCAGTCAATTTGGAAAAGTAGAAATAATGGTAAAAAGGAAAGAGAGAGTCATTCTCTGTTGGGTCTGGGCCGACTGTCCTCACCTTACTGATGCTTCTCTTCTGCCCATGGGCTGGTGAGGGTGGGTCACCATGGAGGCAGGGGAGTAACAGGAGAAAGAGCCCCAGTCCACAGGGGAAGCCCAGCATGAGATCTGCCACCCAGGCAGCGCAGCTGGGGCTCAGCCCTGTGTCACTAAGGCTTTTCAGAGGAGAGAGATGATTCTCCATCTTGAATCGCACTGTTGCCCTCAAGCCCCTGAGCCCTGGGAGTCTCCTCTGGGCCTATTGACCAGGGTCCAGCCCCGCATCACAGAGCTCTGGCCTCCCTGTCACAAAGGGCTGCTGGTGTGGGGGGGAGGGGCCCTGACAGGAGGTGGCTGACCCACAGCCCCTCCCCCACCCTGCAGATCCCTCCACCCCTGGATTGCTGGATCCCTCCCTCAGACTCCACCTGCACAACCTGTCACAGAGGGACCTCAGTCAATTTTATGTTCTTTCCCCCTAGAAGCCTGGTTCCTTTTATCTGCTGGAGGTCATCCGCTGGTCAAAGAGAAGGCCCCAGACAATGCAGGTGGACCAGGCCCAGCCCCTCCCTGAATCTGAGTTTTAGCCTGGAGGCAGGTGCGTGGGCACAATGGGCACATGTGGGGATGTGGGCATGGCAGCAATAGGGTGCCTGACCAGCCATCCTCGATGTTTTCCCACGCTCTTTTCTAGCAAGTGAGAATTCAGTGAGAAGATGTCAGTCTGCAACCTGAAGTGGGCCCTCACCAAAACCCTACCATGCTGGCACCCTGATCTTAGACTTTCAGCCTCCAAAACAGTGAGAAATAAATTTCTGTTGTTCATACACCACCCAGTCTATGGTTCTTTGTAATAGCAGCCCAAATGGACTAAGACAATAAGCACACTGCAAATGTGAAGTCCATAAAAGACAAACATTTGGCCAGCTCTCCAATAAGGCTGGAACGTCCAAGTACAAGAACGCGAGGGTAACGTCTCCTGGAAGAAGTGGAGGAAGCCGAGAAGAAGGAGTTATGGAAAGCTGGGGGCAGAGCGCCACCTCGTGATGACGCCTGCTCCAAGTCTTCTCAGCAGTCCCTGGGGCCCGCTGGCATCACACTTTGTCACAGACACAGGTTCCAGGAGCACCCGTGGTCTGAAAGTCCTTACATTCTCCGTGTGTGTCCGCTGAGGGCTGAGGATAGTGTCCTCTCACCCCACTGCTTGTATCCAAAGCCAGGACATTTGGGGCCCAGAAAAAACCCTAATCCTTCCTTGTGTTTCTCCCTGCAGGTCCCAGGATACAAATGTGGAAAACTCATCTCAGAAACAGTCTTGCTTTCCTGAAGTTCTTAAGATTCGATAGGCATATTAAACAATATCAGAGTTCTGGCTCATATTCACTGGAGACTGGAAATGCACAGAGCCACCTTGAGATGTCCCCAGGTCACCCGATGTCCTCCAAAATGCCTCTTCCTCTTATGTCGTGTCATGCACCAACTCCTGGTGTTTCAGACCTCCCCACACTACCTTCTGATTCAAGTACTTTGTGGATGACTCTGCAGGAAAACTCAGCGATGGCAACACACCTGTGCTGCCATCCCTTCTTTACCTACTTTCCTCCGTTCCAATTTTGATCATCAAGCTGAGCTTTCGGAGTTGACACTTTAGTTAAATGTCAATTTCCCAAATTGAAAGCCTGCACAAATGGTTAAATCCAAAAGACAATAAATACGTTAAAGATGGTCATACTCTACCCAGATGGTTAATTCCATGGGGCATCTTTAGGAAAATGTTATTTCCAACACCTGTTGGACTAAAATTACAGGGAATGTTTATCTTGGGTGACATCTCCCACTCAAAGATTTTTCTATAGAGATTCCTAGGTCTCTGAGGCCCAGACAATGTACATCTCTGTCGTTATCTTCTCTGTAGTCCATTTTCCCCATTATGCCAATTCTCTGACCTCTTCATCCCCAAGCATACAGTTAATAACCAAGGATAAAGATACAGAGGCTCACCGGTGACCCTTGCACGATTCTGACTCAACTTGGGGAAAGCAAAGAATTGAGTTAGCTAAGCCTCTAATATGTGCCCCTACACCATGGAATTACCAATTTGGTTGATACTATTTACTACATTAAATTCTTTTCACACTGAATTGAACAGCTCTAGCATCAACCAAGGCATGAACAGTGCATTAGGAGTAATTCTTATCAGTAACTAGGTTAGGTTCACTATCAGTTGTCAGGCCTTAGAATGGAACAGTCCCAGCCATAAAATGTTTACCCCCGACTACTCAAAACCATGGCCCTCTGTGATTGCTTTGAGTGCATAAGCTTTTCAATAGCTGAACTGTTCCACTGGCTTATTTATTTCTGATTTTCAGCTCCTTTTGCAGCCAGAGAAGGAAGAAAGTATTTTAGCAACAATGGCCTCAACATCCCAAATTCTTCCTAAGATGAAAGCTGTAATAATTGAAATGCAATCTCATTAATGTTAGTCTATTCATGGACACAGGGATAAGCTCATTAGGAGTTAGTGGCAACCCACAAAGAAATGAACTGTGGATTCTTCTTTGCTAGGCCCCTGAGTTTTTGACCAGCCTTGCTGGGATTCCCTAGGTTCTAAATGAGCCACACCAGCCTCCGCAGAGATGTCCCGGAGTGCAGAAGCAGGTGGAGAGCTACAATTAAAGCTCAACGTAAGATGCAAACACCAAGGCTGTTTCAGTTCAAAGTGCTTCCCCACCCAGGCAGTTGCTCAGGTGGGAGTAATTGAGGATGGGGGGAGGGACGGGGGGAGGCGGGGGGAACGGTGACAGGTGCTAGACACCAGCCTAACAAGACAGGCTCAGACTCTGAGGATCTGCAGGGTGGGAGAGCATTGCTCATGCTCTTTTCAGCCATGTGCGAGGAGCTGCTGTGTGGTCGCCATGTAAAGTGAACCAATGGCACACCTGGATGTGGGGCTTCCACGCAGAAAACCGTCATGTGGGCCGGACAGCCCTCCCTCCTTCACCTCCTCTCGGATCCCCAACAATACTTGACAGACTCATTTGGAAAGATGATTTCCCCTACCCTGTGTCCAGTGTCCTAAGACATCAAAGGACATGGCCTTACATGGGCATTTAGACAAGGTTGGGAGAGTAACACCTATAACCTACCTGGCCTGGGAATTATGCTCCCCATTTAAATTGAGCCATGTACAGGCCATGAAACTAGCCTTTGCTCATGCAGGCAGTGTACACCCCAAAGCTCATTCAAGACCAAGAGGAAGCTGGGGCTGCAAAGTGACTTTTCACCTTCATTTTCAAAGAGAAAGGGAGCTGAGCTGCTCACATGAACCCCACTCATCTTGGGCTGACAGAAGACCTCAAAGAGAAAGAACCGCAGAGTTCAGAAAGGTATGCTCCCCACCTTGCCTAGTCTCTGCTGTCCATCTGCCTCCCTCACATCACGATCCCATGCATCCATCTGTTTCAAACTAAGGAAATGGCACTATTAACCTAGTAGGAGTCCTTGACCGATTGATTGAGGAAAGTTAATTTCGTTGAAATAAGCTCGACCTCTAGAACCCAAACTGTTAGCAGCTGAATCCTTGGCTCCCAATAAAAAAAGAAAGAAAGGGAGACAGAATTCTGTAGTTGCCTGGCTGCTAACCAACCATGTCTGTCTGTCAACTGCATCTGGGAGTCTTTGCTTGCATTTTGCTGCTGATTTTCACTCCATCTATAATATATACCAGCATGTTTATCCTCCTGTAAATGCCCAGAAAATAAAAAGTGATAAAGCCTTTTCACTGAAATTATTCATGTGCTCAAAGCTTTTATCCATATCACTGGCATGACTGACAATGTCATGCCAGTACGCTTCCTGAATTAGTTCTTGTTCTGGTATTGTACTCCTGGGCTTGTTTTCTTTAATAAAATAAAAAGAGCTACAGTTTTATTTAAGCTTTCTACAGTCTGGCATTATAGCTCCCCAGTACCAATAATTAAGATGTCATGTCTATTCCAGGAATGTTTATTCTCCTAGTTGCTGTCAACTTTCTAGAGAAACTACCTTTCACATGATTTTTCCCCCTCAAAAACTTTGGTTTGCTTTTAGAACTAATCTGCAGGAGAGAATTCGAATGAGTTATTTTTCCATTCTGAGAGCCTTTCAGGAACCCCAAATGGTATACAATACCCTTAACACTGTTTCCCAAAGGGTAGACCAAGGATCACTTATATCAAAATCAAAATTCAGGGATTAGGACTGGGAATCTGCATTTTATCAACCATCCTGCCTTCTTCCCCACCAGGTAATTTTGATACATGCTGAAGTTTGAGCACCACTGCCTGAAAGATCCTAAATGGTTTTATTTGCACAAATTAATGAATCTTGGGCAAATCTGCATTTTAAAATCAGAGGTGGGAGTCTGGTCATCTTCTTGGCAGGGAAGAGTGGCATCTCACTAGATAGAAGCCGTGGAGACACATATGGGGCTTGGCTGTGGGCCACATACACAGAAGGGGGATGCTTGTTGGTCAATTGTGTTGCTGGTAAACCTCTTTCCCCTTTTCCTTTAACTAAAGTGTTTACCTTGAAGCTAAAGATTAGTACCCAAAAGGACACATAGTGGGTACAAATTTCCTAAGTCACAAATTCAAGGGTAAGAAAGTGTAACTTTTTTCCCTCTTAACAGGATTTAATTTCTCTCTTAAATACCCCATTTCTTCCTGATGGACAGGAATGTGATCTTATTAATTCCAGGAAAAGGTTGCCTACTTGACCTTTCCACTTGGATATAAAATAGGTGCTTAAAACTTAATATGTACTGAAGAGAACTTTTGAGCTTCCCTTCCAAATCATTTTCTTCCTAGTCTTCTTAACCTTAGTAAATGCCTTCACTATCCACCCAGATCAGACCATTTGAAAAATTTAGAACTTATCCTTGATTTCTCCCATTCATTCTGTACCCACAGGTCCTTTTAACATTCTACCTCCAAAGTATATCTGAAACAATTTTTATATTCTTGGATACCATCCTGGTATAAGCTATAATCATCTCTTCTGGACAATTACAATAGCCTGTTCATACAGGTGCCCCTATACAATCTTGCCCCTCTAAAGTCTACTGTTTACACAGCAGCAAAATGATATTGTAAAGATGTAAATCAAACCATCTGTTACGCCTCTTTAAAAGCTTTTAAAGACCTCATATTGCATGTAGACTGTAATCTAAATTCCTTACCCTTACTTAAAAAGCCCTGTAGGATCTCACCCCTTTCTTCCTTTCCAACCTCATTTTGTAACATTTATCCATATTCAGTTTGCTTCAACCACATTGGTCATAATTCTTGATAGTGTCAAATATGCTTGTGTTTCGGTATCTGCACATGCTCTCTGTGCAGGATTCGCTTCCTCAGATATTCCCACGTATGACTCCTTTTCACTACAGCATCGGGTCAAATTCTTCCGGGTCTTCCCTGGCCACCCAAACTAAAACACTGCCCCTCCCCAACTGCCCTCACGTCATCTTTTGTAATGTCTTCACAGTACTTGCCATTACTGGAAATGATCTTTTTTATGGTTTTTAATTTTTCCTCCCCCATTAGAATACAGACTCCAGGAGAAAAGGAAACCTTAACTATTCATGTTCCACACCAGTGCCTAGAACAGCGTTGGGCACGGAGTAGGTAGGTACTCAGTAAATATTGACTAAATGAATGATCATTACAGATAAGGATTTGAGAGTCATCAACATATAAATGGGAAATGAAGTGATGAGAGTGGATAGAATTAAAATAAAACTGCCTAGAGCAGTGGTTCTCCATCCTAGCCATATACTAAAATTAGCTAGAAAGTTTTTCGAAATACAGGATGTCTAATGGGGTCTGGGCCTATTTCAAAAGAGCCCCAGGTGACTCTAGTTTTAGGGGACAGTATTTAGAGAGAGAAGACCCTAGAACAGAATCCTGAGAAATTATGACATTTAAGAAATGAGCAGGCCGGGCGCGGTGGCTCATGCCTGTAATCCTAGCACTCTCGGAGGCCGAGGCGGGCGGATTGTTTGAGCTCAGGAGTTTGAAACCAGCCTGAGCAAGCGCGAGACCCCGTCTCTACTAAAATTAGAAAGAAATTGATTGGACAACTAAAAATATATAGAAAAAATTAGCCGGGCATGGTGGCGCATGCCTGTAGTCCCAGCTACTTGGGAGGCTGAGGCAGGAGGATCGCTTGAGCCCAGGAGTTTGAGGTTGCTGTGAGCTAGGCTGACTCCACAGCACTCACTCTAGCCCGGGCAACAGAGTGAGACTCTGTCTCAAAAAAAAAAAAAAAAAAAACTATCAAGAAATGAGCAGAAGATGATCCTAAAACACTGAGAATGGTCAGAGAGGTGTGGTCAGCGGAACCCAAGGAAAGAGTGGATTTTAGGAAGGGAGAAGCTACTGATGTTAAGTGCTCAAGCCAGGGTAAGTCATGAAAAGAACAGAAAGCATTACATTTAGCAATGTGGAGTTATAAAGTATTTTAGTACAGGGTTTCTCCACCTTCGTTATTGACATTTTGGGTTGGATATGTACCCAGACGTACTCTGGAGACACCCAGAAATATGGAGGAGGAGGGGTTGGAGATCTGTGGACAGGATTTTGCAGAAATTGAGAACCTGAGTTATGTAGTTAATAAGGCCACAGCTGTACCCATAGGCTGTTGAGGCACAGAAATTTGGGTTCTGTTGCTCATGGACTGAAAGCTGCAGAGTGGGCAAGAGAGGAAGAACATCTTTCCTGTCTTTGGACCTTGGTGCCACAGTATTACAGGGGTCCCCAGGCAGTGCTGCTTATACTCCAGAATAGTGAAACCACTCCTTTGCTTTTTACTTACAGCTTTCTGTGAGGCAAAACATGAGTCTAGAAGTGGTGGGACATGTTGGGAGATAAATCTGAGTGACACCTTATACAGGTTGAATATGCCTTCTCCAAAATGCTTGGGCCAGAAGTGTTTTAACTTTCAGATTTTTTCAGATTTTGGAATACTTACATTATACATTATAGTTGAATATCCCTAGCCCAAAAATCCAAAATCCAAAATGTTCCAATGAGCATTTTCAAGTGTCATTTGTTATATTACAAGTTTAGAATTTTGGAACATTTCAGATTTTGGATGTTCCGATTAAGGATGCTTACTTAATCTGTGCTGAATTCAGAATTGTTTGGACTACTGTAGAACTTGGGGTATGGGGAAATGGAAGGGAGCAGCTATTTAACTTTGACCTTTCTATGCTTGTTGGGATGAAGTTGACCTCCCATCAGATCACTTTAGTAGGTTTGAGGAAGTAAATTAGAGTGGGAGGAGACAGTCTTTTTTGACCTCTAGTGGTCACAGGCTCACATAACAACACTGAAGAGAGAAAAGGAGAGAAAAGTTCATTTCTGAGTGTTTATAATGCTAGGCACTGTTAAGCTTTACATTAGTCCTCACAGGAGCTCTCTGAAGTAATAGGCATTATTCTCTTCATTTTATAGGTGAGGAAACAGAATCAGAAATGTTAAGTAACTTGTCCAAAGTCAAAGATCAAATAAGTGATGGACTCCAGGATTAGATATCAGATTTGTCTGATTCTAAAGTCTAGGCTTTTCCTTCTTTTTTTCTTTTTATTTTTAGAGACAGGGTCTTGCTCTGTTGCCCAGGCTGGAGTGCAATGGCACAGTCATAGCTCACTGCAGCCTTGAACTCCTGGGCTCAAGTCATCCTCCTGCCTCAGCTTCCCCAGTAGCTGGGACTACAGGCACATGCCACCCTGCATGGCGAATTTTTTTATTTTTTATATGGATGGGATCTCACTATGTTGCCCAGGCTGGTCTCAAACTCCTGGCCTTAAGCGATCCTCCTTCCTCAACCTCCCAAAGTGCTCACAGGTGTGAGCCACTGTGCCCAGCCTGGGCTTTTCCTTCTAGGTAGGGGTTGTAGTTGTTGGGTTTGGTGTGGTAGGTCCTATTGGCAAAGGGAGACTGAAGCTTCAGGAGAAATAAGGGGGAAATTCAGGCAGTTTTAGAGAGCAAATAGGATCTCTCAAGGGAATGACCCTAAAGTGGGTAGAAAGCAGGTTACCTAGGGCGAAGAGGCAGCAGAGGGGATGGCTGGTTCTGATTAAAGCTTAATTGTTATATCTCCTGACCACTGACAGGGAAGTTGGCGGGGCACAGGGCAAGTAAGAGGAAATGGTCTAAGCTTTCTAACATTTTCTTCTAGTTTTCTGTCAGCAGCCCTTTCTAGGCAGAGACTCAACTCTAGCTTTGCCATCAAATTCTGGGCACAGATAAGAACTTGATTTAGGGGAGCAGACTGGCTATCCAGAGAAGCTTTGGCTCTGTCCTTCCATCTTTCCTGTGGTGAAAGGACACGTAGCTTAGTGGAAAGAACACCCCAGCAGGAGCGAGGAGACCTCTGATGAAGGGAACAGAGAAGGCCGGTAGTGATGCAGAGAGGTGTGCTAGGTAGAGTGACATTGTTTATTCACAGAGGGTAAGTATGGGTTATTTTCCCAGGGGAGCCTGAGAAGTGTCCTCAGGGAGGCAGTGGGGGTAGGCCCAGAGAGCTGGCTTATTTGGCAGTTTCAGCAAGGATCCGAAGCTGTTTCCTGATCTTTGGCTGCCAGGGCCCTGTGGCCTGTGGCCTGTGTATTTTTGGTTTAGAGCAACAGGACGGGAAAGCAGGCAGCTTTTTCTTTTGGTCCCCGTTGGTGATGGACTTGGCAATAAACAAGGGGTTCAGCTTTGCAAGTCGAAAGTCTTGGATATCTAACTCTTCTGGGTTCTCAGGCTCCTTCCGGAACCTTGTAGGCTCCGCCTTTACTTTAGCCTCAGGTTCCTCGCATACGAGGAAAACCTTGTTCTTCAGCTTGTTTTGGATCCAGGGATCAGTTGAGGCACAAAGGATTAATGTTTCTTGTAGCTGCATTGAAACAAAAGCTGTAGGGCTGGCTCACTTTGGGCTTAGGCTGGGAGGAGAAGGGACACCCAAGGGAGTGGAAGCTCTAGCCACAGGCCTTTCTGGCCCCAAGGAATGAGGTCAAGGGACAGTGTCTGAGGGCTCATTTCCCTCTGCTCCCGACAAAGTGCAAATGGTGACATGGGTGGGACAGGCTTGGACAAGGGGTAGAGAAGAGGAGGAGGCGGGCAGGAATGCCTTACGCTCTTCTTCACAGCCTGGTTGTCTTCTGTATCTAGCATGTCCAGGAGCAAGTGGAACACGGGTGGGCTGCGGATCCCCAGGACGCCCTGGCAGAGGCAGAGTGAGAAGGCCTAAGCATCCAGCCCCAGGAAGATGCCCCGGACTCTTTCCCACTCTAGTCCCTTTGTGAGAGCCTGCAGCCTCAGGAGAGGGGGAGATCTGGTTTCCCAACTGAGACATCCCTTTCCACGCCCTTTGGGACCACTGCATGGGATTTCAGTGCCCATTATTTGCCAGAAAGAATCAAGACAATTTTTGCAGGATCTAAGCAACACCCCGCACACCTATCTCCTGTCCCTTAGCCCACCCGCCCCCAACCCTGAAGGAAGGGCTACCTTAACTCTTGGTAGGGCTGCAATTCTAAAACAAACAACCTCCCCAGACTTTACAGCCCTTTCTTCCCCTCGGTGACTCCGTTCAATCGCCTGCTCCCTGTGCCATGAACACATCTCTGGAATTGGGTCAGAGAAGCAGAGGCCACCTTACCAAAGAGATGACGGCTTCCTTGCGTGCGGTGGCATCTGGGGTCAGCAGTTGCCTGGGT